ATATTAATTTATAGAGATTTTATTGGACCAATAGTTTATCCCATTTTCATTTCATAATCAAAATTAGTAAGATTACTCATTAATTGAATATTTCGTGAATATTTTTCAAAATATCCTCATAGATATATATTCTTGATATTCAACAAAATCCATAATTTTTTTACAAATATTTATGGATATTTGAAATATCCATAATTATCCATGAATATGTATATCCATAGATATTTTGTCATATGGATAAAAAATTTAATATATATATATATATATTTTCCATGGATACCAAATATATCAATTCACAAAAATTTAGTTTCATGCATAAAATCAATCAAAGTATAACTGTTTAAAAGAATTGTATATTTACAGGCAATAATTTTTTACTTTACTTGATTTCTTTAATTTTTTTGTAAAATGTATAAAATGTAAAATGATCTTTGTTTTTCAAAATTTAAATAAATAATGATTTTAAATTTATTGTATGCTAAAATGATAGTTTAACATTGAAAATGAGAAATTATTACTATCTATTTTCATATAAAGTATGATTTATGAAAGTTAATTCCTGAAAAGTTATCAACTTAATATTGTGGAATCTCGGAAAACATTGGCCACTAGTTATGATCCCCATGGACCCCATTCCACATTCAGCCGTGCGTCATGGTGAATGCCTAAAACTAAGTCAATCGATCATTGCATGGATCGAAAGACCAATTGATGATGCTGTCAACGAAGAAAATGCGAACGTTAGGAAAGCTACTATTGTTGCCAACCATGTTTAACTGCAAGTAAATACATCTGGCTTCGGATATTATTTAATTTAATATGAATATCGCTTGCCATCCTTATGGAGAAGGTAAAAGAATCACTTGGTACATATATAGTGATATGTAATTTTTTTTATGCATGAGGAATTTGTTTGAGAACAAAGATGAAACTACTACACAAAGGGAACAAGTCTTTAACCTTTTTTTAAAAATAGAGGTAAAACTACTCGGCAAAGCCTAGGTTGTTGCGAAATCATTAAGTTCATCATATAACATACGTTGACATTAAATTAAAATGATAATGAAAGACTCATCAAGATGTGAGTGACAGTTGCAGTTCAACATATGACTTTTGTTCGGTATAAGAAAAAAGAAGCACAATTACTGACTTGATGAAACCAAGATATACATATCGTACGTCAAGAGTAGTTCCTGTCATGGTTCATGACGTGAGGTTGTATCAATAATTCAAAATTGTAAATAAATGAAAAACTGAAAGGACAAAGACTTGGAGCCGTTAATTGGTCATCTCCAAGCACGGGCTGTCCGAATTTGCCCTTTAAAACAAGGCTGCAATTAAAGCTATTCTAGGCAGAATCGAAAGGAAAGTTTTTTTTTGTCATGATTTTATATACAAGCACAAGTAATTTAACTACAATCAAATAATTTTGTGTTATGTTCTTCCGTTTGAAGCCGTCATGATTTTGTGTTTCGTTTGGCTCTCTAAACTGTATCAACTCTGTCAACTCTCTATTGAGCACCATCATTATTAGCTCTCTCAACTCTTTGAACTGTAGCAGCTTTGTCAACTCTCTGATGAGCACCATCGTCATCGTGCTGTCGTCTATCTCTCGATATCTGACCATATTGTCTTCGATAAATAAACTCTATAGTAGAAATGACATGAAGGTATGTTATTGGGTTTTTTACTGTAACACATTAATTTTTGAAACTTTTTGTGTAAATTAAAACATATATTAGAAAATTTTCCTAGAGTTATTACACGTCATGCATCTATAATGCACATGGTGTGTAAAATTTATATTGAAATAACATGTGTTAGCACATGGTGTGTAACATTTTTATTGAACATGGCATGTAACTTGTTGTGAATATGGCATGTAACAATTTTGAACTTACATGTAACATTTTTGAACATGACATGTAACATTTTTTAAACTTGCATGTAACGTTTTTGAACATGACGTGTAACATTTTTTAAACATGACATGTAACATTTTCTGAAAATTACGTGTAACAACATGATTGATCAATTTTAGAACACAGCATGTAATGTGTCAAATGATTAACAATTTTTTTTGTTTTCAAAATTTTAGTAGAGTTTCAATTGTGCGACTTGTGATAAGACACGGTAGTCAGTGAGTGGATCACATTTACCAGGGTGGTGAGTCACGAATACGGGAGGTTAGGAGTGATTTGTCGTTTACGAGCTTAATAAAGCTGGTTGAAGATGTTGCCGGGGTAAACTTAGAAATTAACAAGATTGAGTTATATGCATTGATCAGTACACCTGAAAAG